CTGAGCAATTTTCACACTCCAGCCTCGAAGCCTGAACAGCATACATGGCAGTCGATAGTTCTCAGATTGCAGTCAGCCTCTTCCCAAGAACTAACTGCACAGCCATGGCAAAAGAGTGGGAGAGTGTATTCAGGGCCTACAGTTGGCTATAATGAATGACAGCTACACTCACAATGCATAAATTCTTCTATATACAGATTACTGCTTGTCTATTTATTATTTATGATTGTTTCATCTCTCTTGAAATAGAAACTGCAAGAGATAAGCAGTCAGTCATAGATGGAAAAACTGAATGAATATCTAGCTTTAATGTAGTACTCACAACCCATTTTTCCATTAAAGCTCTATGGACTTTAGTAATCTGAATCAGGATTGCTCATTTGTTGTACACAGACACACCCCAAATGCCTGCTAGTGAGACCACATCTCCTTTTCCCTTCTCTAGCAACAGAAAGAGCTGTCTCTGATAAGGCTACTCGACTGAAGCCGAGACTTCACAAAAAGCCAAACTTCATAAAAAGGAGTTCTAAAGGGAAATCCATGTTTTGTACAAAGATATAAATCTTTCATCAACAGAAAATCTCAAGATGAGCTTTTGAGAACATCCTTGGGCACTGTATTGTACTAGTCTGACATTTATGAGGCTGAGAGTTGAGATAGCAAATCCTGTTTAGCTACTGTGGGCAGAGAGAATGGAGAAAGTGATTCAACGCCAGCATTTATCTTTGCTGAAGAAATATTCCTGAGGAGAGGAAGGTTCCTGCAGTTTAGCCCATACAGAAAAGAAGTCCATGGGAGCAGCTGCCTAAGAGTGACCAGAGGAAGTCTTCAGTCTGACCTTTTGCCTCAGCTCTTAGAGACTTGGATGTGGCACCTGGTTGCCTCATATCTGCTTGGATAGTCATTTTACAACTTGCCCTTTCTATGAGCTGAATTTGCTCATGAATTCATCTGTTCAGTTAAACATCCAAACATCCTGAGGCAAGAAGTTTCACAGTTTAACCAAAAGTTTAGCAAAGGAATATGTACTTGTGTTTTCAAGCTGTCACTTATTAAATTAAGAAGATGCCCCTTGTTCTGGTAACAACAGTGAACAACAAATGCCTATTCAACATCTCCACAACACACGATTTTTATAGGCCACTACCATATTCCCCTTCTGTCTTTTCTGTGTCAGGCTCAAGTGTCTGCCACTCCACACACATGATCCATTTCAGGCCCTCAGTCCTCCTCCTTGTTGCTCCCCCTGTACATTTGTGGCTGTGCTCTATCTTTCTGAGCCTGGGGGGAAAGCAGAACTGCCAATGTCACATGCCTGAAGCATGAAAGCCACCTCAGCACACACCATTCTGTAGGTAACATCTGGATTCTTCTATTTTGTGATTGATTTACATTTGCTCATGTTGAATTTCATACACCATTTTATTGCCTAGTTATTCCATGTCACAAGTTCCTCCCACAGTTAACCACAGCTGACCCTTGTCTCTTCTACCCAGAATAACTTAGTATCATCAGTACATGCTGTCACCTCAGTATTCACCCTCCTTCACAGGTCTTTTCTGGCAGATGAACAGCACAGGTTCCAGCACAAATCCCCATGCACTGCCACTGGTGATCTCTTTCTACTGTGATTTAGGACTACCCACTACCTACCTGTACTTTCATCTCTACCAGCCTTGTGTGAAGGAACTTATCAAATATCAGAGAATATCAGATATCCAAGCAGATTATAGCAATCTACCCTGTCTACATGCTTGTTATCTCCTAAAAGCTCTCAGCATGTTGATTCCTCTCCTTAAAGATCATGTACATCTGTTCATAGTTACTATAAATTTTACTGTAACATACCAAGTTTACCAGCCACGCCTTTCTGAAATCCTTATTTTGCTAAAAATACAATGATGTCTTCACATTTCACATCTTTCCATCATATTGGAGCAGTCTTAAAGAAAATACAGTATCGCAATAAGTAATTCAACTCTGCAACCCTTTAGTCCTTCTAGAGTTCTTAGGTGAATGGTGTCTGGTCCTGGAAGTGCATAATGGTTCACATTGTCAACTTCTACAATCTCTGTTACTGACATGGTATTGAGACAACCATTTCACACACTGCCAGGAAAGGTTCCAGCATAGAAATTGTTCCAAGCTTGCTTCACACAGCAAAATATTTTTGCAGTTGTTCTGCTCTAGCCTCATCTTCTCTGAGCATTCTTTGTAGACTCAGACCATTTATTAGCCTCACAGACTACTTCTTATATGAAGTCATGTTCCAGAAGCAAGTTGCTCAAAAGAGTAATTAAGAGAAAGACAGTACTCCTGGTGCAAGTATTTCTAATGTCTTCAAATGACCTGAACTGACACTAGAAGATTTCTAGCAAAGCCATGTTTTGCTGTTCATCTGAAAAGCAGGCCATAAGCACATTCTCAAACTAGTGGCAACAACCTGGCTTTTTTTTTGCAATGTATTTACTGTCAGTTCAAGCCAGTAAATCCTGTTTATCAGATGCTCTGACAGACCTCAAGTGCCCTCTCTACTAATTGAATGTACAAACCCCTTTGTGACTAATACTTTTGTATTATTTCAGTCTGCATTTGTGTGTCAAATTGTTTTTAAAGGTTGAGTTTGTTTTTCCTAAAGAGCTTGAATGCCAATTAGCATGCAGCATAAATATCGCTCAGCTTTCAAACGGCATTATGAAATGCAAGAAGCATCAAGGAAACAGGAACTGCAGCTTTTACCAGTTCCACAGCCTGAGTAACCTTAAACTCGGGTTCACAAGAGATCCCCCAGATTAACTGGGGTGATCTATTTTCTGATACAGAGTTAAGAATAAGGCTCTATGCTGAGTTCAGAGCTGTTTACTACTGCTGATATTTAATCCTCTGGTCTCCTGGGAAAGGAGAAAGAGCAAAGAGAAATGCATCTTCAGGCACCACCAGGACAGGTTTATTTCTCAGGTGGGGAGAACTGGTGACAAGTCCAACCTATAAAACAGGTGATGAAAGGAGGAAAATTTCCCAGTAAGCAGGTACCACACTTGTGCTGCTGTGTAGCACTGCTGGCAGTGCAGGCTGCCTGGGAAGTCTCCTCCTTTAAGGCAATCAACACTGATAAATATATACATATCTCTGTCTGACTAAACACGTGAATTTAAAATTTTATTTTCTAATTTGCCTACTTCATATGCTAACTACAAATATATATTTCAGAGTTGGGGAGGGTGGGGTGGTGGGCAGGTTGACGTCACTGGGGTGTAGTTTTTTTTTTTTTTCCTTTGTTTTTAATTCAAAATATGAGGGGTCTTGTTAGTCTATTCCCAGCTTCCTACCCTTTTCAAACCTGAAACTTTTACGCAAATCCACACCTCTGTGAAAGTTACAGACTGGCAAAGGAAAAAAACAACAACTTTCCTCTTCGTGCCTTTCTAAAACATGTGTATCAGCAATTTAAGCAGCTTTTTTAAAAACAAAACAACACACACAAAAAAACCTCAAAACAAAACCAAAATAAGATTAAAATTAAACCAAAATTTTGATTTCATTTTTTGTTTAGAGAGTTGATATAGAAAATGTTTTTCTTCATTTTCCTTTTCTTCGTTTACTATTGGCCAGAAAGATGTTTGTTCTAAAAGTTAACTTTATATTCAGAAACACGTTACCAGCAAAAGGGACTCTAAAAAGGAAATACCAATTAGAAATACTGATATTCTCCCTGTATCCTCTCCATTACTTTTATAGTAAAAACTTCAATCAGTATTACAATCACTACACATTAATATTTAGAATACTGTTGCCAAAATTTTCAAATATATGCCTCTACACTTCATTTGTAATGCCAATATACATTGAAATATTAAACTTCTAAGCAAAGCTGTGTGGGAGTCAGAACTCCCTTTAATAGGACGGTAACATATCTCTCAGTTCCACATTGGAGTTATTCCATAAATTCCATAAATTGTTTTAGAGCAAGAAAACAGAATGCTAGAACTTTTAAAACTGCTACAGACCACAAAATACAGTTCAAGAAGAAACACTGTGAAAGCCAACACAATCCCATGGCATATCTCTGTTTCGACAAAAAGACATTTTTGGAAAACATTCACTGGCACACTTCCAACCGCTCTCACTTAAAAAAAAAAAAAAACCAACGTATACTTTGACAGTGATAGTAGTAGATTTAGTTGCATTCTGAATACCTCTTTTTCTCCCCAGGGCAATGTTGCCTCATGTTATACACAGTAAAAGAAATGACAGCGAGAAGTTCAGCTCATGGAGAGTGCAAGTGTATTTTACAGTTTGGATTCTAAATGGTGATGGGAAAGACTGTGATAAAATACAGAGGAAAAAAAAGTAGCTGACAAACTAGAAAAATCTTTTCACCCTACGGAGCTTATAGATGCTCTACCAACCAGTAGTGCACTTATTAATTGTTACTTTATAAGAATTCCTGCAGTACATGCTCTGATAAGGGGGCTGGGCAATTCAAAACCAGTTGTTATTTAAAGTGCTGTGTCAGAAACTGAAAAAAAATGGCAGGGAATTCCTTTAAAAACATAATGGTCTGATCACTATTTTTCTGACACCTTTGCAGGAAGAGCTACATGTTTTCTAATTATGGCTAAACATGATGTTCAGCTCTGCACTCTGGAGCCTATAAACAGCAGACTGGAAGGGACCTCCAGTCAGTCATGGAGGTACTGCTTGCTGACTGAGATGTAGAGGGTAAGATCTCTCTCCAAGGAGCTGTCTCTCTACAGTGAAAGAAAGGGAGTCTACAAAGCAGTCCTTCAGGAAAGTGTTCCACTATATTTAATACAGATACCTAACATTCAGCATTATCAACTTTTTATTTTAGCAAACTCCTTGCTCAGTTAAGCATCAAGTTCAATATGAAGGAGTAACTTACAATGACAACAGTGCCTCAGAAGGTTTCTGAGCCATCAGAAGGATATGGAGTCACCTTTTTCACCATTAGGGAAAACTTATACTTGTAACTTTACCTTTCTACAACATCCTCTCCATTCCAGCAAGTTGAGCTGTCCCTCATCACCAGGTCTCCATCACACAGCCTTTCTGCTATGGAGGCATAAAAGGTTCGGGATCGCTTCATGTAATTGATGAACTCTCTGTAATGTAGGAAGAACACATTTAACAACAGAACAGTACACCTATGGTTTAAGCCCCCTCTCAACCCTCCGCAAGATTACGGTTCAGAACCCTTACAGAAATTAAATCATTCAAGTTGATAAATTTCTATTTCTACTCCTACGTATCATCCAGTCTTACTTAGTCCAGTGTTAATGCACAAAATTACATACAAAGGATGGTTTTAACAAATTACCTTAACACAGCTTACACAAAATTTGAAAAAAGTCTACAACTACTATTTGTATAAACAGATTAAAAAGTCATGAGAAAACATTATCATTAAAGAAGTGGGCTTTTTCTCTGTTACTGGAAGTAAATATTTCTCCCTTTCCTGCACATCTGTGAGATGAATTAAGAACATTGTCAACAACCTCCTGGGTGGAAAAGGCTTCCTAAAGCTAACATCCCATCACAAAACCTGCAATATGTTATAAGTACCCCATGCATGCAACAACAGCACAGAAAGTCATCTCCTTGAGATGTGGTGGGGCCAATTCCTCCCCATCACCACTATCCATGTCACATTCTTCTTAGAAAGAAGTTTCTCTTTCATCACAGCTGGCACCTCACCTGTTAAGAGGAGGCTGTGCCTGCTGCTTTGTTGAATAACCAAAACTCCTGGCCAGCACAAACAGCTCACTTCTCATGATGTGTGTATGGAGAAATGCCTTGTGGGCAAATGGCTGCCTCTTATAATCTGATTATACCTATAATATATATCTGGCTGAGCTAGCCATAAAAATAAACTGTAACAAAACAAGTGTTAATTCAGCACACAACTGAGAGTATTTCAGAATGAGAAATCACTCTATCTCCACAGCTTTAGAAGCTCCTGTTTGGTGTAAGTTTTTAAAGATAATGAGAACGAGATGCAGGACACAAAAACTGAGCTAGAGCTACTGCTCAGAACCTGCTTCGCTGTCCCTCAACAGTCCCACTGGGAAGGCCAAAGGGCTCATTCTAGTTTATAATATTTCTGCCTGGCAGGCTGTAAGGAGACACTGCACTGAAGAGGTGCCTGGGGATATGGCTGGGTGGAGCTTGACACAAAACCAGTTGGGATTTATTATTCTTTCAGGAGCAACAGGTACGTGAAACAATATCAAAATCCACTGCTAGGTATCTACCCCTACAAGCTTTAGGCAGTGGTCATCCCTTCCCACAGCTCTCTATATACTTTCTCAAAAGCATTTAGACACTTATCTTATGTGTGATGAAATCAAGCTCTAGATAAACTAGACATCACACAGTCCTAGGGAACTAACTTACTCTAACAATGCAGGAAAGCTGTCAAAAAAAGCAGGAATTCTGGGGCTTACAACAAGGGAATCAGTACTTCTACCTCTTGACCACTAACTTATGAATATGAGCTCTAAGTATTTATATAGTAAAGCTAGACCTAGACAGAAGAACACCTACCTGATAGAACAGGCAAAGAGTATAAATTATGGAAGGTGACACAGATGCTAAAGATTTTATGGGTTCTATAACGGAGTTTTACTGGAAGGAGAAAAAGAGCACGCTTTTAAGAGTCTAAAGCTTGTCTTACTCAGCTCACCCCAAGAGGCTTAAACTCCTTTGCATTTTCAGCAGAGTGGGGCTCTGATATTTCAAAGTAGCGTCTTAGCAAAGGCAGAATTCTGTGTCCAACTCTTAATCTTTACAAGTGAAAATATTTGCTTTTGTCAGTATAAAAACTAAACACACTAGGTAGAAAATGAACAGTTTCCCAGTGCCCCACAGTAGAAAAGCAATAATCAAAAGCATGCTAGTTCCTAGATAACAGCTGAAAGAGCAGTTTACAATGGAGATGAGCTAAGCGTAGAGACAACAAAGTATGTCACCTTGTTTTCATTCTTACCGAGAGATTTTTTTCAAACTTCTTGATTTGTCATTCTTTGAAGCTTTCAGAGGCAGAGAACTGGAATAGGCCGGGGAGAGTAAGCATCAATCAGGAGAGGTTGGGGAGGAGGGGAGAAGCAGGAATTCAGGCAAATGAGGAAAAGAAATGAGAAACAAAAGAGAAAAGTAAAAATTATTTGAAAGAAAGGTCATCAGGCACATGCATAGGATAATATAAGAAAACAAATAAGGAGGAAAATTGTCATGAGATTTTTCCAAAGTATAGATGCAATTAAAAATGTCAATGCGATACTGAAAAAAAAATACAACCGAGATTGTTTCTCCCAATCATTTTCAAATAAAAGCACAATTACAAATGCAGCATACACAGCAAGAAGCTGAAAATAAGTTCAGTGGTACTTAAATTAACTGTAACTGATACCAAATGGAAAAACTGTAAGTATATCAGGCTATAGAAGAAAACAATGGCAAATGGTTTAGAATGAGCACCATGGGAAGGGGGATACAAATAAGTAGCATTCATTTTCTGGTACAATGAGCAATTTGATGTCTATTAATAAATAATGTGAATACATATATTTTTTTTCTGTTCAGATCCAGTCACATTGTACCACGGGGGGAAAAAAAAAAAAAAAACCAAAAAAAAAAAAACAAAAAAAAAAACTTTGCAAAACAGGAGAGACAGGATCTAAGGTTATATTGGAGGAAAAACTGTGGAAATAACTCTGGCAGTTATTTAGTGCAAATGTATTTCATGGCACTGATATCCCGAGGTCACATAATTAACATTAAACGCTGTATTTAACATTAACATCATGATGCAATTTTCCACTTACATGATTTGATACCACATTCTGCTCTGATGCCCATACTTTCACATATAAATTAATGGCAACAGCTGAAGTAATGCATGCCTGCAAACAGGTTCAAGGATACTTGCCAATCCAGTGAACGCTTACTGGGGAGAGTAAGCAGCACCTTTAGTACCTCTGAGGACACGCAGACGATGGTGGCTTTGCCATCGTACCCTCTGGGAGCTAACAGCAGGGGTGGCCACAGGAGAGGATGGACCTGCACTGATCATCAGGTGAGTGTCACCTGCCCTCACTGAAGCAGTGATTCCAACACAAAAAAAGGAAATGAGAATTTGTAGCAAGGAAGATCTGGATCTGCTGAAACTTCTGCCTTGGCCACTCAGTCAGAAATGTTTGATTTCTTTCCACAATAAGTTAATTTGCATCTGGCATTAATAATCTTTTTTGTCCTACCAGTTTAATGCTCAAATTGTAATATCGTCTGGTGCCTGGCCCAATAGATAGTTAATTTTAAATAAAATAGATGCCACTGACTTAAAATATTTCTCTCAAAAAATTATAATTGTTGTAAAACGTATAAAAGATCCATAAATCCACAGTATAACAAAGAAATCCCAACAAAATATAATTTCAAAGCCTACCTCCTCCAATTAGGGACTTAGTATCATAGCTCTTTGTTAAACATAACATATTTTTATATACAGATCTGTAACCAGTCTGTGTTTAGTGGTTTGAAATATTACATGCAGCAGACATGCTAAAAGGGAGGTATTCAACTTTGCTAGGGGTCCAGACCTTGACCAGAATAATACTTCATGCTGAACTCAGCAATAACTTTCCAACCTACTGATTGAGATTCTGTACATGCCATGTACATTCCCTGTACCATCATATGGTTTTAATTTTCTTGTCATCTCTACTACGTGTTACAGTAACCTCCGCATTAAAAAATGACTACAGCAGCAATCCTGCCAGTTTAAGTTAATCCCTGAATACAATTGCGTAATGCAAGAGAAGACAAAAAAATTACTAATCAAACTCTATACTTTTCAGCTTAATCAGAGGAAAAGGTTTCCTACAAGATCGTAGAAGTTTCAGCTTCCTACATTATTGTCCCTGACACTGGGTGTTACATAACAAAAAGTATGCAGGAATGGAACGCAGGAGAAAATAAAGAAAGATGGAAAATCTCCCAGGAACCTTTGAGAGTAGGAGGAGCAGAAAAGGGTTCAACTACTGCAAACGAGGCTCCAGTTGTTAATGTGGATTCAGGGACTATGCAGGACCACACTGTGGAGAACAGCTGAGGTTGAGAAGGACTCCCTCCAGCCAGACTCAGAAAACACAGCCAGAAGAAAGATGAGTCAGGCAAAGGGCCACCATCCTAATCATGCCACTGTTCAACTGCACGAGCAGCCTCAGCTTTACTAAACATCTGAAACCAGTTTCTCAAACTCTTTGGAGAAGTAGCTTCAGTTTGTAACTGGCCCTGAAAAGATGTAATACCGTTGGAGCAAACATACATATATAGGTATAAGCTATTTGGCACTAGGTTTTTAACTGCATCTCTAAGCAAGTACTATAGAAGAGATAAGAGGTCAGGTTATCATAGTTTCTCCTACAGAAGATGTGCTAACCAGGCTGGTTCTTATCTTTGAACTTGGGAATATTCTGACACATTAAGGGAAAGAGTCACAGATTTTCTGTTTACTTGGGGAGTGCTGGCTCACTCCTCCTCTTTCACTTTCCTTGTTCCAAAAGGCAGGAGTCACTTTCCATATTCCCATTGAATTAAGGATCATTTGGAGGGATGTCTATTACACAGACCAACAGACTCAGTCAAACCAATTTCCCTGTGTGGCCTGTACCTAAACTGACAGACAGCTGACATTATTGCTCTTCATTTTTTGGATCGCCAGAAGCAATGGCACCAAAAAAGATTCACATAATTACTCTCATAATCTAGATCCCCTGTAGCAGTTATCCGTCACTGTTTTAGTGCATTTTACACAACCCACTGCAGGAATGATTTCAGCCATCCATTATAAAATTTTATTACCTAAAATTTCTTTTTATTGATATCATATGTGATTAAATGATAGATGATGAACAACACAGTGATGTATCCAATCACTGTGTATTTCACTCTATTTACTGTTTCACAATTGTTTCCAAGAAGCAAAGTACAAGCTTCATGCCATGTGTTTTATAGAAGTTGTGGAAAATTTAAAAATATTCTCCACTTCTTACTAATCGTGGCATGGCTCCATCATTCATTTTTGGTGCATAGGCTCTCCACAATACTTATCAACACTGTGCTTCAGTAATGTTTTATGCTAATTATGTAAGGATGGCCTTAGTTTAGATTTTTTTGATAAATGAATTTTCAGTGCACAGACCAATTTTGGAAAACTGTCTAGTTTACAGTGTATTAGTTTTAGTATATTTTCTTTTCCATCTACAGGTCTTACATTTTAAAAGGTCAATATCCAAATATTTCTAGATGGTTGGGAAGAGGAGGGACCAGATCCTTGGGTGAGAAAGAACTGCTGTTGTGCCACTGCAGACACCAATTTGCATCTGTTTAAGAGGCTACCCGTTAACAGGTTAGTAATTCTGCCCTTTTGGTTGCCACCATATAAGTCCCAGTAAAGTCAATGAGTTATACAGAAGATGGCTTAGGGCTCTGTGTTTTTAAAAGCATGTTTTGTTAATTGTACTACAACTGTTCTTTGGATTATTACAGCTGAATTTATTAATTTAATTTCCTTAATGCTCTTTTCTCTGACTTACACGGTAAAAATTTATTAGCTCCAAGCTCTAGCACAAATTGCTGTGTTTTGGTTTTAAATTACAAAGGGATAAAAACATCGCTATCACTCAAAAAAATTAGCTTCCTGCTATTACTTTCAATCTTTTAAAGCTGTGTTTGTTTCATTCATACAAGCTTAGAAGAGAATTAAAATAGAAATGGATAAAAATCTCATCTTCCCAACTCAAACTCCAAAATCCAGTTATGGAAATTTTAATATTGCTGTCTGTCATCCATCTATCCAACATACAAGGATACACATGGACTCCCTGGGCAGATACAATACTGTTCTCAGATAGAGGTGTAAGCCCAGCACAATTCCACTCACTTCATTGAAGTTATTCCAGAATAATACTAGTGTTACAGAGAAGAACACATTAGCCAGAAATATGTCATTGTGATTTTATGGTCAGTTAGTGCTGACATCTACTCATGTATCATGAGCGGAACTGCAAAGACATCCTTCCCTCCCCACTTACAATTACCAGAAAACCAACCCAGGAGCTACATGAGGGAATGTGAAAGAAAGACTAGGAGATCTGGGAGCAGGGATACTCATGCCAGGGCCAGTGGCAGTAACTCAGCTGTCTAGTGTCTCAGCTGGCATGGAGCTGAAGAACAGAAGCCAAGATGGACACAACAAGCCTAAACGCAAATGCTTCTGCTCTTGCTCTGTTATGTAACAAATCAAGGAGATTGCAAGGGATCTCATTACTCCTCCCTGGACCTGTGAAATGAGGCACTGACTTTCTGTCAGGGCAATGAATCTTTCTCTTTCAACTTTTCCTCCTTTCCACCTCTGTCCCTGGATAAGCTCAAGTCCTTGAAGACCGAGGCAGTTGTATTTTAAGTAATTTAGACTCAGCTGTGGAAATTACTCAGACTTTGTTGAGGAAAAGCTTTCAGCATTTTCACTGAAAGTTTCTGGAAATAATGAACACCTTGGTGCTAAGTAATGATATCAAGTCTGGCCTGTAAAAAGCTTTTCTTGGAGAGACCTGTAATGGAATACCACAAAGACATCCGTGTAACTATCAGTAATGGCAACGGCTGGATAGCACATAGACCAGGCGACAGAACTGTGGCTCTGGCTTAAACACTATGGTGCAAGGAACCATTAACACAAACTGTGAGGCAGAGAGTTTATTTCAAAGCAGCTGTTGCTTAGAGTTACCTTCTTTTATTGTTCAGACTAGCGTGAGCCATCACGAATGTCTGGGTTTCAGTCGCCTCCTTCACTGGCACTATATTGTCTGATGACAGGTTCCCTTCCTGCTGTTTGGGCTGTCCACACACTTTATCAACCTGTATGAAAGGAAGGGAAAGGAAAACTGTATGAATGGAGACACTGATTTACAATTGCCCAGAGGTTTGCTTGTTCCTTGTGGTAGGTGTTTACCGCATGAGAAGGTATCTGGGTGAGAGAAAGAAAGGATTCTTCTTTCCAGGATTTGGAACCTAGTCCCCTGCATAAGAATGACCAAATTACAAGGCAAAGAGCACTACTACCAGAAAGCCAACAGTTAGATTTGTCCCTGGGTACCTGGACTATAACACACCTGGAAACAGGCTGAACTGATAGAAGTGTTGCCAAACCAAACTTGTATTTAGAAACATACCTGGAGTTTGAAGGTACACAGATTTTGGTGGAACATCTGCCCTGTATATAGAGAGCAGAGTCTATCTGGTGTTTAAAGGGTGGCTTGTAATCAGAAGACAACTGAGACCTCCAGCCCCTTTAACTAAACAATGTTCCCTTAAAACAAGGAAATGAGCAAAATAAGTCAGCATCAACAAATCACTGTCAATAAAGTCTTTTCTTAGGCAAAACAAAACAAAAAGAGAATTTTCAGCCCTGGGAATCAACAGTGTCTTGGATCCTAGGTTTGGAACACTACCATCATGTAGCCATGTGCCCTTATTGCCCTTCCTGAAGCCTCTCATAGGGGATTTAATACAAGACCAGGAGAAAGCAAGATTGTGTTTACCCTTTGTGCACTGTGGAGCTGACACTGCTCCTGCATCCTGTCACATTTATTTCCTGTAACAGCTTTAAGTGACAATAGCAAAACAATCCTCTTCCTTTTCTAATCCACAAATAAGTAATCTGTAATGTTTTCACCTCCACTTAAATCCTCAAGCAAACATGAAAAGACAACAAAAGAAATCCTACTGTGGCTATGGTACTGCCAGGGACCTTAATCACACAGGATCCATCATCGCACACAGCACTGAATTTGGTGTCCCTTCTCCAGTTTTCCATTATCATCAGGCTGCGATGGATTCTCGCTGGCCTGTGCATTTTACTGCATCTTTAAAACCCTCACTGAGTCACAACTGCCTATCTGCTGAATATTCAGACCACAGTTTTCTCTGCCCCTTTTCACCACTATGTTGTATACATCAGTGCAAGCACAGGACAATTTGCTCTACCTTAGCCCATCTCCTCCAGGAAAGCTACTGCTACGTAAAGATAAAGCATTTTTCTCTTAAAAGATAGGCCAATCTAACATGAAAAGTTGGAAGCTGTATAGGCATGACACTTATCATCAACTTTAGTTGTCTGTGTTATGGCTTGGTCCAGTATAATATATGCTGTGAAGAACTGAAAATTGTAGCAACTGAATGAGAACATACTGGATTAATCCTGACATTTCTCCAGCAGTAAGAGCAGGAGCCAGCTGCCTCACTCAACACCATGCACTACGTATATTGTTCTGGACTCACCAGGGATAGCACAGCACTGTTTTAAAACAGCTTAGTGAAATAAAAGCGTCTATTTAAGTCCCTCCTTAACTTCTGAAAAGAAAAAAAAAAAAAAAACAAACACCCAAAACACTCTATGCAAATGAAAATATAAAACAAAAATGCCTTTTGAACCCTTTGGAGCAGAACAGAGGGTATAACACAGCTGGACCACATTCCTGCACAGGATGCCCTCTCTCCTATGCCCCAGGTTTCCCAGGTCTCCTACAGCATGCAGACCCAAATTCCCAGTGCAGGTTTCTGCAAAATCCATCTTAGATTACACCATGACACTAAAGTTCATGTCTTCAAATTACATACACCTCAAATCTACTCACTATGGATATGAGACAGTTTTAGATAACTAATACCGGAGCAGTTTGGAAAAGCAATGTGGTTCTCATATACATAAATGATAAAGAACTCCAAGTTTTTGTTTTTCCTGTGAGAAGTTTCAAATAGATTTAGAGTCATCATTTTTGTTGCGAATCAATAGTTTAAGCATCCAAATGAAAATCCTTATTTTGTTTTGATTTGTATTTTTGATACAATCGAAATAAAAGACTCTAACTTAAAGAAATTTCGGTATCTTCTATGCCAAACCTTAACTTTGGGGTTTTCTTTTTAACCAGTTTCCTGAATATCTAACAAAACCACAGTATTTTTAAGTAAAAATATTCTCAATGGAAAATTTTAACCAGTTCTACTCCATTAAAGTAATTTGTTAAATGAAAGGGAAAATCACACTCACACTTTTTTGTCATGTGGGCCTTTTAATACCTTTCTTCTCACTAATATGCTAAGAAACACCAGCAATGCTCCACAATTTAAACTACTGCACAGACATTTTAATCCAAAGTGAGATTAACAAAATGGAAGATACAAGAATGATATGTTATTTGTAATACCAGTAGCTCTTAATTGTCTCCGCTGAGATCCGGACTGCATATTACTGAGAAGAAAAAAAAATAGCGTGAGGCAGTCCCTGTCAAACAACATCTGACACTTCGAGGAACAAAAAATTATGGGAAACTGGTGCAGAAGCACAAAGTGACTTCTCCAGTGTCACGGCAGGGGCCATGGCTCGCTCTGTGTGCAGGCAATGCCCTGACCCCTGGTGCCGCTCAGCCCAGACCCAGCTCCCCGGGCGGGCTCTGCCCGCGCTGCGGGGCCCGAGAGCTTCCAGCAGGGCCAGGCCGGCACCTCAGCAGCCCTCTCTCCTTCCTACTCCCCTTCCAGCATGAAGTTTCTCCAAAGCTAGTGTGGATCACCAGATTTTCTTCATTCCCAACCTCTCTGGGGCAGCAGGGATGGAGGATTTCACCCCATCACTGCTCCTGTGGGGTGTACAGCTGGTTTGAAAACTTCTGCCTGTGAATGTAGGTGTGACCCTACACCTTTGGATACAAAGACCAAACTCCGTCCCCCAAGAGACTGTCTCCCATGGTACTTGAGCTATTGATGTGTGGCATATTTGTTTCAGATTTTGGATGAGTTAAATAGAAACACGATTTTTATTTTTACATTTTTTCATGTGGACCGATTTTGACATCTCACTGAAACGTGCACTGTCCTGCGAAATAGACTAAGAGAAAAGGCTGAATTTTACTAGCTAATTTTGGCAGTCACAGAGTTGATAGCGAGAATGAGAACACCCATGTACAGAAAACCATCTTAAACTTCCAGCTAGGACATTTATGAAAAATGAGTTAATGCTGTGTAAATCAAAAAAGTATGAAGCATGCCATTAAAGGAAAAAGAAGCGCTTTCTGGGGCTGCAACATCTGGAATCTACTGCTACAAATTACCTGTCTGTTAACAACAGTAAGGGACACAGAGGGTCTCCCTCCCAGCCCAAGGGCACCAGACAATGCACTGTCTGTTTAACTCAGAGCTCATGAATCAAGCCTCACCACCCATGGAAAAATAGTGCTACTCAAAATGGTGTCTGGGATTTTAAAAATGTATTTCCTTGCATGTGTGACTTACTGCTTCCAAGTTATCTCTTAAACTGTAAGTACAGACTAAGTGATTTTTAGTTTGTTTATTTTTAAACAGAAGCTAACATTAATCTACTGTCACTGGACATTAGAATTTGACACAATTAGAACAAATATCAAACATGGTGAAAGGTGAGAGAACTGCAAAACATGAGCTGCAAAGAACTGGAGATACCTGGGATAAAATTTAACAAAAATTAGTAGAAACAGAAAATCCACTGCTTTTTTCCTAACTTCAACTTTTAGTACTCCGAATAATCAGGAATCAACATAAAAAATGACTAAGCTTGTTTATTTCTTTGATTTTTAAACTTAAAAAAACCCCTGCCAATCTTAAATTACATATTGATAGAAAATCATCCCTCATTAACTATAGCAACACTAAGGGTCATTCCTCTTGCCTCTGATGATATTTAATCAAGTCTGCCTTCTAATGGTGAATACTTCTAGTTGAAAACTAGTATTCATCATACCTCATTATCTTCTGAATTATCAATAAAGTTTCACAATTCTATTAACTTCTATTTGGATTAAAGCTCTTTTACTTATACACCAATTATTCTTCTTAAATATCTGTCTTTCTAACAACCATAGCTACATTGTTTCACCTGTGAACTTTCCTTTGTAATGAAATACAGTCATATATATATGGATTATTTGACCTCTTACTATTTGTTCTTTAAAGAATGACCATTTACAATTATTGCAGAGGCTTATCAAAATAAATTGAAAAAATCTCATCCAAAAATCTTTTGAACTCTTGCAGTTTGAGCAACCTTAAACATTGAGGTCATATTTAATATACTTAATATAATCAAACAAGGGAAAAATGTCATGCCCTTCTGGATACCAAGAGAATCTTATCTGTGTAAACCAGTAGACCTTTTCACTAGTTCAGAACAGTAATATTCTTTGATTTTGTAACAGGAAGCTTAGTATTTTAAAATACAAGATTTTTCTAGTGATTGGGCTTTGAGTTATTATTAAAATGCTGACACATTTTCCAGCAGATTTCCACCCCCTCCAATCTGCGATCCAATTCAGCCCTGCATAAACCCAGCACCTGGCTGAGCACCTCTGCCAAATGACACCCCCCGGCCCAGCTTCATGACGGCTGTGCAGGCAGCAGCCAGCCGTAGCCTGCAACTCACATACCACAAATGCATTTCAAATCAAAATTGGAGTTTGCTGGTTCCAGCTGCCATGTTTGAAGTGAAAGAAGCAAGAAACACTGAGTTACCAGGAAATCAAGTTTGAATTTTCCGACTTGAATGTTTACCATGAGATCTTGTTTTGTTTGAGTCAGATATACCCTTATCATTTGATTACCAATGGCACAAGACGCCAAGAGATATTATTATTTGTTGACCTAGCCATCAACCAAAATTTATTATATAAATACAGAATCTTCTCCTTTGGAGTGGCTGTTGTCTATTACTATAGTATTGCTGCAAAATGCTCATTTCCAATGCTCAAAAGATGCATGGGAGCACATTTGATAAAATGCAAGGCAGGGATTATTGCTCATTGCCACTGTCTATAGCTTATTGAACAAAATCT